TCTTGCATGAACCCCGTAGTGCTGAACCCTCGTCCCCATAAAGGATATCATTGCCCAAAATTTAGACCCAACCCAGCACCACCAAAGCAGGTACCCAAAAAGTCGACTTTTTGGATACCTCCCGATTTACCATCCGACGTCAGCTCTTGCGTGAACCCCGTGACGCGTTGGGTTCTGCGGCCTGTGGGGCCGCAGCGCGCTGCCGATGGTCTAGGGGACATTCAAGTGCCACAAGTGTCGGCGCCCGGACGTCTGCTGAATCGATCGGTTTCTCCCGGCGAGGAAACTTCTTGGAAAAGCATCCAGCCGAAAATATAACAAAATCTAGACAGAGCCTAGAGCATTCCGAGGAAAATAACAAAATCTAGACAAAGCCTAGAGCATTCCGAGGAAAATGCCAGAAAAGCCTTTGACAATCTCATAAACCAACAGAAAACGTGACAAAATCTACGAAAAAGCAAGGGCATTGGCCAGGACCATGCCGCGACCAGCCCGGGATTCGAGCCCGGGTCGGCGCCCGGACGAAAGCCTAGAGCATTCCGAGGAAAATGCCAGAAAAGCCTTTGAAAATCTCATAAACCAACAGAAAACGTGACAAAATCTACGAAAAAGCAAGGGCATTGGCCGGGACCATGCCGCGACCAGCCCGGGATTCGAGCCCGGGACCATTTTGGACCGTGCTTATTTTCCCGCGCGGGTCGAGAAGGTGCCCCAAGATGTAAATCAATTGGGATGGCAGATTCTTGGACAATCCAGGTCGCTTTCAGGGCGCGTTTTTCGTAACTGCAACAAGGGTCCGGAGGGGTAGGGGAGGTAAGGTCTAGGTCTAAGGCTAAGGACTAGGTCTAAGGCTAAGGACTAAGGCTAAGGCTAAGGCTTAAGGCTAAGGCTAACATCGACAGTCACGCCTCACCCCACGGTGTGGGGTCGGCGGATTATCCTCATGCTGCAAGCATATTTCAAGTCATTGCGTCGGAGTTGATCATGAGTTGTAACAAATTACATTTGTTATCGTTTGTTTCATGCGAGGTCCGAACAAGTTGTCAACTTCTGGTCGTTGCGCTCCACTGCTTGTCCTTTGCGCTGGGACCTATCTCGTTAGGTTTGGATCGTTCAATTCCCGGTGTTGGACCCCAGAGGTGTGTCTGGTAGGTGTCGGACCCCACAGGTGTGGCAGGTTACGACTATCCAGACCAATCCCTTCCAGTTTGAGGAGCGGACATGAACATGGCCAATCAGGTGCAAAATTTTACCAATTCAACTACTACAGTTATTGATCAAATGAGAAGACCCTTTGTGTCACTCTTCATTCTCCTGAGGCCACACTGCAGTGCTTACACCACTTGCCGGACTTGAGGACTTCGATCCATGCCTATCAGCCCCCAGCGGCTGAGGCCGCGGCCGCGTACGCGCGCGCGCGCGACGCGCGGCGCCCGCACGGGTGAAGGTGGAAGGTGAAGAAGGGGACACCGTGCTGCAACAGATTGAATCGACCTGGGTTTGTCTAAGCACGTTTGAAACACATACTAGCAATAGTAATAGCACATACTGGTAATTGCACCGTTCAAAAGAGAATAACAGAAGCGATGTTGGCTGCCAGGACTTTGGGTGTGGCCTTTAGAATCGCATATTATATTCACATGATTATATGTCAATTCTTGATAGGCACCAGGATCCCCCCATCGTCTAGTTCATCCCATGCACACTAATCAGTCAACCCCACTAGTCTCACCAGCCGGTATGACCCACCCCAATCGTGGGGAAAACATGGGAAAACCATCACGTTCTTCGGGTTCCCCAGGATCTGAAGAATCTGATGAATCATCAAAGATTCAATCCAGGACACTCCATGGGTCTGGCAGTGGGTCTGGCATATGTACCTACATATCGGTGTTTTGTTGGATCCATATACTTAACCTATGGATCACATGGAGTAGAATGCGTAGATTGGACACTATCTAGCCCATTGGAGTATATGGATATGTTTGGCCATGAAACTCATCACCTGGGTGTCTCCACCCACTCACCCACTTGGCACGACTCGGCACTCTGCAGGGCCGAGATATCGACGCAGCCACTCGGCGACGGACAAGGAAATGCCTGGCTGTTGAGACATACGAAATGCCTGACTCACAAACACCTCCAAAAGGGCCACTGGTTTTCCACTTCCGTGTTAGTCAGAGGGTCACATGGAAGTGGATGGTACTCCCTGTTCGTAGAGTAAATTGGTCTTGGGGCCTATGCCATTCACTTCCATGTTAGTGCCTCAGAGTGAAAATGCGTGTGTGTGTGTGTGTGTGTGTGCACATGGTATAGCTTGATTCAGAGCGATGAACCTTGGTATACATCCAGATGTGTCATCTAGATGTTTGTTCAGAGCTGAACCCCCAAACATTCCACTTGTTAGTGGCCCCTGACCGACCGCCCTGAGCTCCACAAGTGGGCGGGGAACCCGCTGGTTTCGGGTGGTCGATGAGACTGGTGCACCGGAAACATATCCAGACACACCATGGGACTGGTAGATCTATATTATATATACCAGGAGTCACAAGACCGGGTGCCGAACTTGGAGGATAGGGGTGCCCATGATCCAGTCACTGGATGGGACTGAGCCACACTACCCCGAGCTCTGTGACTCCTGGTATATACCTACATTGGGGTGGTTTCAGAGGTCAATGTACATATTCCACGATTACATGGAGTGTTTGGGATGGGAAAGAAAAGCCAACATATGGCAAGAAATACACTATGGCACTATGGGGTCCAGTAGCTTCCGGGATGGTACAAAACCCCTGCGAAACATGTATGCCAAGCACAAGACATCAAAAACAATTGACACATTCCTTGTCCATTGGTGGAGAATCTGTTGGATACCTGTGGCTGATACCAGATACCATGGAGGTTCATCCCATGTCGATGCATCACGGTTGTGGCATGAACCAGTTGGTGCATGAACACAGCTCAGAAAGCTTCCATCGAAGGAGCAGTGCATTTTGAGAGGCTCCAAGTCATTAGGGCACCTATATGGTTTAATGTTTACTGTACCAGGAAGTATAGCCATCCCATACATGTGTTCTCAACATGTTTTTCACCCTGTGGTTTCTATTTGTTGAAGCAGATGTCCCATCCAGCACCCACCCAGGACCCAATCCACAAAGCAAGTAGCCATGCTTGACACCACTCACACTCGCGCCCTTCGCTCGGCCCAACGGCCCAGCTTCCAGGTGCTCACGGCTCAACTTCGAAGCGTGAACACACAACTCACCAGCACGACCGACTCCATCGCAGCTCGGATTTTTTTGGGGGCGGTCGGTTTTGGGGATCCCCCTTGCTGATCCTTGCTGATATTTATGGAATGACCGAACCACTGGCCAATCGCTGAAGCAAGGCGGATGTCCCGTGTAGTGTCCGGGACACCGGAGCAGCTGAGCACATCGGAGCGGAGCACGGGGATGCGTGGCAGTTCTCCCCATGCAAGCGCTTTTGGTAAAGAAATCGGAGTGGGGGGCCAAGGTACAAGATAGGAAAGTTCAATTTACAGTTCCTAAGTCTCTTTCGCATTTCTTCTTACCTTCTTTCTCCAGAGTTCGCTGACCTCCCCACCGGTGGCGTCACTCTTGGGCCAATGAGACCGGGAAACACAACCGCGCCCGACCCAGGTGCCGATGCAATTCGTCATGGCGCTGCGCCAGCGCTTTCCCAGGCGCCGATGTTCCTGGGGTCGGTGCAGGTGGTGTGGAGCAGCAAGGAGGGTGGGAGCAGCGCTTGCTGGTCATATATTGGAGATCACAACTATTCATAACTCATTGTAGTTGCATGCAGCATGTTGCGCAGACTTGAAGCGCTTTGTGGCTTGGATGGGGTAGCAGACCCTTCCGCCATCTCTGAGCTTCCAGCCTTCTAATTAATGACTATACTCAGCTAATCAATCAGGTCGTCGGGGAAAATTCCAGCTTGGACACCCACGGCCCCAAAATCGATAATTAATTGTCCAACAAACTAGCTGCTGGTTAGGAGAAAGCTAAGGAGCCGGAGGTATCCATCTTCTCCTTTCAACAGGGAGCCAAGGAGCTAAGCCCATTGAAGACGTTTTGCATCAGCTTATCATATATCAGGATCGACGGTCTTTTTTCTCGGGCCGGGCCCTGGCAAACTGTGAAGTGGACGGCTTCCGATGGCTTCGCAGGTTTGCAGAGATGCAAAATGGCGCCTATATGCAGCAGGACCGACCTGGCAAGGGACGACCAAGTGGATTGGTACAGAGATGGGTACAAGAGGTTGCCCATGAGGGCTGGCGACGAAATGGAGACCCTCACAACAACCGAACGCTCCGAAACAAATGGGGCGAATTGGCTCGCACTCTTGGACCTCACTGTTTTGCTACTAAACCTCAGTGTTTCAGCATGTGTTGGCGAGCCGCTACTTGTAGCCCTGATTTCAAAGGAGTTGGGAAGTGCACGCAGGGGATTCAAGTACTATAGAGACCTATGTTGCTTTTGGTTGCGAAGAGGGTCAGACAACAAAGTCCTTCAATGGGATGAGCAACATCTCAATTTCTCCCATGACTCTTCTTTGGATTCGTGCAGATAGGCAATTTTGTTGAAGAAGAAACGCTCTTGGGACTCGTGGGGTCCAGAACTGACGCATTTGCCTTGGAAAAAAGCACTGCTCGCCAATTTCACGCCTGGTGACGCTAATGCCCAGGACGCGGACGAGTGTCTGCGTGGTTTGCTCACCTCATTGGCCACCACCCTGCCAGGCAGCAGCGAAAGCTCTAACAGGCCGCGGCGGACGCGTTTCGGGCGGGCCGAAGCTGATCTCGACCGACCCAGTGACCGATGGGACCGAGTTACGGTCTGACTCGCGACTCATCAAGGCATGGGGGGGCGGGCTCATTCATTCCCCCGGAGAGAAATTCCTTTTGTGTTTTCAGAGAACAAATATTGGGCAAAGATCTTGGACCTTTCCCAGAGACCATCATGCTAGTTATACATACAATTTGCTCATGAAAATGACCCTGATGAGTAACTCTGCCAGTTTTCATGGATGGTTTGGTCCTTTCAGTGGTCCTTCTTTATACATCTTTATACTCCATTCCACCCTCCATCGAGTTCGTTCGAGCAGATGCTGATCTCAGGGTGGACGAACTTTTTGGCTATCGACTGCACCCTGGCATTCGGGCGGATCTCTTCGGGCGTGGAGCGTCGGTGTCCAACAAGCCAAGGGCGGTGTTTCTTCTTTCCCAACGGCCGACATCGGTCAAAATAGGAGCCTCAATTGAACGTTACTAGGAGCAAGGACGCTACGAACGGGGCTCCTGGCCTTACTACTATATATAGTAACAAGAAGCTACTAGGAGCAAAGGGTATCGCTACTAGGAGCATGGACGCTACGAACGGGGGCTCCTGGCTCACTTTGTATGCAGGTTTGCTGTGATCAGCTGGGAGTTTGAAAGAGGGCTGCTAGGCATTTACCAGCATCCTCCAAAAAGGTCTCCCCTATAGAGTTGTTGGGGCCCGGCCGGTTGACCTCTTGGTGACCGGAGGATGCTGGTATGGTTCGACCATCAATGGGGAACGTCTAGAAGCTTGGGTTAAGCCAACACACATTCTTCTAGTCGTTTCAGGAGGACATCCGCGCTACTGCGGAGTTGCTGAGCATGGTTTTCTTCGCCGTTTTGGAAAGAAATGGACCCTAAGGAACCGGACCCTCGAAAACACAGGTTTTGAGTTTTGAGGGTACAAACCCCAGTTATAGAGGGTTCGATCCCTTCAATAGAGGGTGGTTAGGGTAGCTGCCAGGGAGGTCCGGACCTAAACCAGCTGGAGGCACGAGCCCCGAAAGGAAGAGACAGATCCCTGAACTCATCGGAGATTTCCACAAGCTTGGAACCTAGCTGCGTGTGGTGAATTGATGGCAAAGCTGAGGAAATCCTCGCTGAAGTGCTTGGAATGCGATGAAGAGCCTCCACAGGAGTCGACCGAGATACCATCAGCCTCATCAGACTCCCTGATCATGTGGCATCAACTTGCTGGCTGAATCCCTCTGATCGATTTGGATGACTCCTGCTGCGCAGCAGTTGATGCGTGCCTTCCCCTCACAAGCTCTAGGGCTCCTGGCCCACATCCTCACCTTGCTCCGTTTCACGGAGCTCGGTGAGCCCGGAGAAAACTCGTTGACTCCTCCATACTCCACGTGGAATCCGATCCTTTGATCCCCCAAAAAGATATCCAAACATCTCAGACATCACCCCCATTTGGGAGAGGAACACATTCCACATGTTCCCAATTGGATCCAGTTAATCTGAATCATTGGATCCACTTCCATGTGACGTCTTCGTCGTTTTGCGTCGTTTTGACAAACCGAGCGAAGCCCCCACTCGTGGGGCTGGGCGGTCACGGCAGCTTCGCTCGTTTGGAGGTCGGATGGACCTTAAGGACGGTCGGAGGTCTATGATTGGCTTGAGATTGAAACTAACCAAACTACGTAAACATTGTTGAGCTAACTGTGAAGAGCTCTCCAGATCACTGCGCTTTTTGATCGTGAAGTGAGGTTGGGCCTCCTGAACAACCGAGGTTCTGTGCCCCTCATCACTTCCGGTCCAGACCGACCGGTGCGGACCAGTGCGTCGTCGCGTGTGTTCACCGTCCAGGAGAGTGAAGAGTTGACACGGGTTTTGATGTGCCACCTGGGTCTCTCGCACCGCACCGTGATGGCTTTGGAAGCGATGGCGAAAAACTGAGGGTGTTTTGAGATGGTGGGAGTAGATGGGTGTCTTTTTTGGGGGTGTTACGCCATGTTGGGCCGTTACCGGTGGTGTTTTTTGAAGGAAGGAACGAAGGAAGGGAGGAACCCATCCATCGGTGATAAGTAATCGCACAGTATAAGCAGCGTACCACCCAAGTCATCCCAAGTCCAGGCGAACGATGTAGTTGCGGCATGTTGCGGCCATCCACAAGCTGTGTTGTTGTTGTTGTCGTCGACTGAGAACGGGCAAGTCACCTCTTGGGGAGTCCAGTCGAGATCTTGCCCTCCATGTGGAAGGGAACTGATTGGTTCGAGGCATACGCAGCAAGAACAGCCAGACAAGGGTTCATGCTTCCAGTGGTCACATACGAAGAAGAAAATGGATCACACTATGTGGTTCAACTGTGGTTCTGGCCTGATGCCGGAACATGCTGGTGGAGACTGGTGTTCCGTTCAACGTGTTGATGGCGAAGCCTTCTTCATCAGGAAGCCTCTTGGGGCAGTTCCCTTCACAGAAGGACTGCATGGCAGATGAACTTGAAAACTCAGGTGCCCCAACGAGATTTGTAGGAAGCTCAAGAGGCATCTCCCGTCTCCGACTCCAGCCATACGGCACTGGAGACTTCGACGGGTTGCGGAGTCGGAGTCCTTGATTGTTTTGGTTCCCTACTCACAGAGAGGCAGCCAGTCCGAGGAGCTTTGGGCCTGGTTTGGGTCAGAGTCCAACTCCCACTCACAGGTCCCAGACCCCCAGCGGACGCCCGACGAGGATGATTGGTGGTGACGCCTGTGAACTTAACGCTGAAATACGCCTGTGGCTTCGCTATGCTTCGCTGAGGTACTCAGACGGAGCCGGTGTCCCACATCACTCAAGGGGTTCCCTGCCTGCAGGGCTTGAGATGGGTTTGTGCGGCCTTTTGAGGATTGAGTGGAGGTACGTACTCACGAAGCAAAGACTGGAAGGGCTAATCGTGGTAGGGTGGGGTGTCATTAACAATCCCATACACTCCATGGGACTGGAATATATGCCATACAAAACCACCTCCCAAACCACCCCTGGCCTGATTGGTACATCTGCCAGCTGCATGGGTTGTGTCCTTAACAATGGCTCATCAACTGACATGTTCTATTTGTTCCACTGCCTTGATGAAACACCGGGACCGCCCTTCAGATGGCCCATGTATTCCATGTCTATGTTGAGGTCAGGTGGATGAGATTCAGGCACCAAAGACATGAGTTTCAGGGTCTCAGAGCCTGAATGCATTGCAATGAGTAGTGATGGCCTCCACCCTAGTAGCGATGGCCTCCACCCTAGTAGCGATGGCCTCGAACTGTATATATGACTGTCTTTGATCATTCCTGATCAGTCTCATAATTCATGAGAAGTGTCATCGTAGCTCATGCACCAAATGGCCATGGGTCAAACACCAGCTAAAACTATAGTGGAATTAGGAGTTGGGCCTTGGTGCTTCGGATGTGTTGAAATTGGCACACCGGTGTCAGGGTGCGCTGTTTGGATCCAACGGTGTCAGAGCTGCGCAGAGTCCCTTGAGATCAACTTGCATCGTTTCTACATATGACCTGCGGCACAAGAAGAGGAGCGAACGTAGCTCCGCAAGATGGTTTTGGGCACAAGCTTTCTGCGGAGTCCGTCCTCAAGTGAAGGGTTGGGATTTGTTTCGTTGTGCAGTTGAGCTTCTTGACCCTTTCCCAGGTTCAACTTTCCTTGAAGGAACACATTGAAAAGAGTCTCAGCTGCAGGGATTATGCCTTCCAACAGCGCAGTGATGTGTTTCTGTTTTTCGATTGTGCTGAATTTGGTGATATTGGGAGATGTTGTGCAACAAGATTCAACAAGTTTCAAGGTGTACAGTATCAAAGCAAATAGAGACCATTTCTGAGCTTAGGCATGGATCACCCTGAGCAACAATTAGCAGGTGTCCAAATGCTTCGGCCGATGTAAGCTCAAGGAGTGATATTTGGCAGATGTAGTATGATGTACTTGTAGTTGTAGATGTTGTTGTATACTTACGTGGAAAGTATCCTCGGCAACCTCAAAAACGCACATAAACAGGTTCTCCAACTTATTCGTCCAATCCACCAAGAACATCTAAGAACTAGGACATCATGAACATCTACCTGCACACCCCCCCGTTGCCCTTCCGTCGTGCTGCTACTGGTAGTAGAACCTGCACGCTTTGCTTGCTTCAACATCCAGGAACTCCCCGGTCTTGGGCCGCAATGCGCAGTATGAGAAGACCTCGACGCTGGAAAGCCTGCCGCCCTACCTCATTGCCCCTTGGAGCACATGTTCGGCTTCGTTGGGGAGGACCAACCGACGAAAGACGTCGATTGGCATGGGCGAAAGCGCGAACTGGGGCAGAGCGGGGGAATGAAGGCCTATCCATATAATATATACATATATATATATATCATTGAGCTCGCAGGAGGTGTAAGTTTACCTGCTTGAGTGACAAGTGGCTGCAATTGACTGCAAAACCAAAAAACAAATGTACGTCATTTGCTCGCTCTCTGATATATATGATGTACTTGATATAGCCTTTAAGATCAACCTCTTTTGGCTGGGATTGGTTTCCCCACCAAAACACGTAAACACTCGTGATTAGCTGGTATTTTTTGTCAGGGATCTCCAGAAGTGGCGCGTCAGAACGGCCCTGGAGCCTGAAGTTGGCCGCATTGAAGTCGTCTCGCGAGCGACGAGAGCGACGAGCCGGCTGGGAAGTGGTGTTTGCAGGACTTCGGGGTGGGGCGGGGTTGAAGTCTCGCTGTCCCCCACGGATGCATTGGATGTCGGCCTGGTGGGTCTTCCTGGTTGGTGAGAAATTAGGTTGGTTCGGCTCTGAAGTTGGAACGTGATCGAAAAGCCAAACAAAAAGAAAACTCGATAGAACACATCATCATTGTGATCTCATGTGATTGTATTCAGAATATTTCAGAATGCAACATCTAAACCATCAGACCATTGTCCGTGTCACGTTCTTTAAACCGTGAACCTCCTCAACTCCCGGCGGTGCAGCGCCCCAGGTGCAGTTCGCACGCTTCGGGTACAAGGGCGCCAACGAGTGGGCCGGCACCAGCGCGGCGAAGGTGAAGCTCACGCGTGGCTCGGTTGGCTCGGTGTGGTTAGGGGTTGGTGGAGCGAACGGGTAGAGGGTTGGCAAGGGGTGTGGGGTTTAGGGAGTAAAGAAAAGGATGAAAAGGTCCATGAAAAGGATGAAAACAGACTGGACATGGAAGGGTTTTGTAGTGGAAAGGGTCCATGGTCCATGGACTCCAAAACCCTTCCAACTGAAAAGGATGAATTGGACGTTGGATGAACATTGGAAGGGTTTTGGAGTTGTGGTCCATGGGAGCCAAGTAGGTTGACGATGGTGGACCCCATGTGTCTTATGTGGGGGGACGAGTGGATTCAAGACGGGGAACTCTTGGGCATGATGGGGAACTCATTGCAGATGAAAATACCGCACATAAGATATTGTCTTGGACGTTTGGTTGTGATGACCATCAAACTTGTGATTGTTCCATGTATGGATCTATAGACACTTTCCACTGGTCCAAGGATCTGACACGAGAGTATCCCTGAAGTGCTCGAAGCCAAGTTCCTTCCAAAACCAAACCCCTTCACCAAGGGATGAAGCAACAAGCATGCTTCACCCAGTGCTTCACTGCCATGCCAATGGCTTAACCGTCCGTCACCCCGTGGCGATCGGGTCGATCGGGTCGAGCTGAGGGTGTTTGCTTTGGAAGAAACCCTCACTGACTTGGGCCCCCCCCTGCTCTTGGCCTGGCGGTTGACCCACCGTAGACACAGCTTATGATTGAGGATTCATGACCACCAATCGCCGTGTCTGACTGGGCCCCTTCTTGGATCTGGGGCACCCTTACACATCCAAGCCTTTCAATCATCGACAGTGGTCATGGTGTCTCCAAAGATTGAAAGGCTTGAGGGAGATGATCCTCCAAAATTATCAAGGCAAAAATGCGTAAGAAGAGAATTTTGGTGAAGACACTGTTCATTTAATGTAAACTCATACATAATTTGCATGGCAACCTTTAATTTATAGAAAATAAGAACCACCACCAAATAATATTAATTCTGGGAGCAACTGGCCTATGAATCATTAATTGTAAAGAGAAATCAAAAGGCATTATACTAAATGCTTGGAGGTTATCGGTCATTCATTCTCTCTCTAAATCTACAGCATTAATATGAAGGGAAAGGACACAATCGATCATCGCTGTTCTTTTTGCTAAATTCCCTAGCCTTTTTTCAGCTCAATCAAGCCTTCTATGTTTCTCTTCAGGCTGACTTGTTCCGCAGAGTGTGATGCCCGGCGATTTCATCTCAAGTTCCCCCCACCGCCCTCCCTGGTGCATCCGGGGAGTGATTGATTCGTTTGGC